TAATTGGACCCTGGGAACATGTTCAGGGGCTACTTCTTGCTATGGCCTTTTCTTGCATCCCATTCTCTGCTTCTTCTTTGCCATAATGAGAACTGAATGTAGAATAATTTTTACAAAAAAAAATAGATTTTCAAGAGTGACTGACAATTTTGAATTTGTATCAGATTTGTATGAAAGTGTTAGCTTTCTCTCAGTTCTTATCAGGTCTTCATGTTTTTGTTAGGAATTGATGGTCATCCCCAGATACCTAGTGAGTTTGATGCCAGTCTGGGATAAATGAGACCCTATCTCAAAAATAAAATAAAGTCCACCCATGGTTCAGGGACTACTGTGGAAGAAGGGGCAGAAAGATTGTTAGAGCCAAGGGTGGTTCATGAACATAGGGAAGCAGAGGCTTTCAGGCCACTTGAAGTTTGCACCTGTGAACCTGTGGCAATGGTGGCATCTAGCACAGGACCCATGACAACTCAATTAGACAAGGTCCCAGAGTGGAGTGAGGGAAATGTGGGGTGGTCATCTCCAGTCTGGGAACTATGGGAGACTGATCACTACTAGGCGAGGGAGAGTAGACCTCACCAATGATCTCTAGATAAGCTGACTAGACTCCAGTGGATTAATTTGCACCGAAGGACACTTGAGTCCAACTGATTGACTGGATAGGAATTAACATGTATGGTGGAATGCTTGAGGCCCAGGGAGCATGAATGGATGCAGGAGGCAGTCTAGTTTAAGAACTGTTGTATGAAATGAACAAAAATTTCAACAAAACTTAAAAAACAAAAGCTAATAGTATGAGACTAACATCCCAGCATTTCCTCAGTGACCATGCCCCCAGTCCCTAAAACTTTCTCATACACATCTCATAAGGGTTTCTCCAACTTCCAGTTAAGCCAAACTGAGCACCAAGCTTTTGACACATGGCCTTGGGGGGCAGTGCAGACCCATGTGGAGCAGTCCTGTTTGATGCTGAAGGCAAGCCTACTTCAGGAGACCTCCTGCATCACACATGGGTCTGGACATCCTGCTCTGTGATCAAGGGAAGTCTCTGCTGGGGTCTCTGGTGGCTCCAGTGTGAGTAATGTGTGTGGATCATGTGCATGGGGCGTCCAAGCATTTCCTGCTGTAAGAAACACACCACATGTTGTAGTCAGAGCAGTCATCTCCACCACCATGATTGCTATGGGTATAAATGCCCCCTAGTGGCCCATAAGCTAAAAGGGGCTTAATATTTTGTTTGGTCTTTCAAAGGGACAGCTATCTTGAAGAAGTGAAAGAGGTTGGAAGTAATTGAAGACATTGGGGATGTGCCATTGATTGGACATTTGTCTCAATTGCCTCCTCTTCTCCCTCTGCTTCACCTCCTACCAGCACACTTGAGTTATAATGTCCTGCCCCACCTCAACCAAACAGGGATGTCCCCAAGACACATGAACTGAGTCCTGTGACCATGAGCCCAAGTCGACCCTTCCTTCACATTCTCTATTTCAGGGATTTTTCAGTCTTGTAAACTTCATGACCACAATTCTGAGTACAGTGTTGAGGTCGTCAGTGTGAACAGTCTCCGTTCAGCTCCATGGCTTGTCACAAGTACAGCAGAAGTAGGTGATGACATTGATAAAAGTTTCAGGATTTCAGTGGTGGTCAGAGTGAGAAATAGCAGAGAGGTCAGAGCCCTGACAGGAAAATCCCAATTCTAACCCACCCTCATGTGGAAGGCACTGGATAAAGAAGGCACCAGGTCTACTGTTGTGATGTTCTAGCCCTTGGTGAAAGAAGACAGTTCAGTCTGACATAAATGGGTTACAGGGTAATGCCATTTCTTTTTTTTTAACTTTTAAAAAACTTTATTTAGAATTTCATACATGCAATACGCTGTTTTGATCAAATTCAGGCTCACTCCCTCCATCCCAACTCCTCCCATATCTCCCAATCACTTTTTCCTGAACAACTTCATGTACCCTTTCTTTTTTTCTTTTTTAATTATTTATTAAATGACCACATAATTAGAAGAAGCATTTCATTACAACAGTATTAACGTATTCAATAACAATTTCCAGAGATAAGATGCCTCTCTTTCACAGGGAACTCATTTTGCAGTGGAGAACCCAAGAAAAGATTCTTAATGACAGAGCTGTGTGACATATTCCAAGAAGACCTGCACACAGGGAGTGGTACCAGCCTGAGAGAGAGATGTATGTTGCACACAGCAAAGCTTGAGAGGCTGAGCCAACTAAGGCCTTTGGAAGTAAAGTCACAGAAGTCAGACATGGAGCTACTTTATTTGGTGTCTGCCATTGGCATGTGATTCAGGATTTCTCCACACTATAGGCCAATGAAGACAGCTCTGTCCAAACACTGATCCAAATTCCCTGTGAACATCAGGCTTCTTAGCCATTGTGGGTGAAGCATGACCAAATCAAAGGACCTGATTAGGACCTGTGTGCATCACAGACAGCTCAGTGTTCCTGGGTTTGGGAACAGAAGATTGGAGGGAAATGGAAGAACTCTGCTGTGATGACTAATCTAGGCTGTCAGTTCAACTAGATCTGGAGTCAGCAAAGATAAGGCAGGTGACAAAAGGTTTCAGAGATGTTCTTGATTGTGTGTGGGAATCAATAAGTGGGGAGACACCTCTAAGGGTGGTTGGTTCCTTCTGGTGCAGCTCAGACGCAGGGGTTGGGAAGGGAAAGCTTTGCTCCTTCTGTCAGTGCCTCAGAGTCTTACTGTCAAGTTCATCCATCTTGTTCCTGCTGACACTATTGCTCCATTCCTTCCCTGATGTCAGAATCCAAATTATTCAGGACTCCATCATAAGCTGAAGACCAGTGACTCCCCCAGAACCCTCCTGTACATCACTGCCAGGTTGGGTTGACTGAGGCTTCTACCCACATAGGCTGAGCATCCTCTCTATTGTGAAG